TTTTTTTTTTTTTTTTTTTTTTTTGTTATATTAGTAAGTGTTAGGACCAGCTTTTGTGCATATAGAAATTTTTTAATGCAACACCTAAGGTACACCTATCCCATAGCCTGAAATAAGAGGAATTATAAAGCAGATAATCTAATCTCAACTCCCCAACTACCACATCCATAGGACTATTGTAAAGATATGAGATATGGGTACCTTTTCTCCCACTTTTTCTTGATGTTCCTTCACTTTCTCCTGTAATTTCTTCAATCTCATATTCACTCTTAACCGCTTTTCCTGGTTATTGAGTACAACAAGATTGAGTTGCTTGTTAATAAACAAAATCAATATAATCATGCTTTGCTGACTAGCAGGATAAGAATTATCGTTATAAAAAGGGTCAATGTAGATAAAATATCATGCCTTCACAAAGCTGACTCCAAGCTCTTTCCTCGAATAACCACGGTCCAAATTACGCAGAACATATTGATTATAATCTTTGACAATCCTCATGATAATGTCTGAAGTTGATATTCCTTCCGTCCTTTTTGTTTCCTTGAACTTTCCAATTTTTTTAACCTACAAAGGAAAAGTTCCTATCTATGAAATTGTATGTACTTAAGCACCAAGTGGATCGAATGGATAAACCCATCTTCTGATCTTACAAATTCATAAACATCCTTCCCAGCTCCGGTAGCATCAGCATAACTGTATCGAGGCAGAGAAAGGATGACATAGGTCATTTAAAACAGAATTAACAAATAAATTCAATATGAACAGATAGATACCATGGACCAACTAATTGGAGCTCTTCCTGAGACACTTTACCATCCAATCTATACTAATTAGATGGGTAGAAATGCAGATAAATGTGGTAAAGGAAATAAAATCCATTGCCCAAAAGTTACTTGACCCTCTTGGTTCACTTAGATAAAGTATATAATATCCTTACGGAAGAGAATCGTGGGCCACAAAGTCAATCTTGTGCTTGTCAATAAATTCTTGAGAGATCACCCAGGGTGCATCAGGAATCACTTCATCCACCCATCTGCGGAAAAGGGAGGGGAAAACAAGGAGCAAACAAATAAAACCACGTTGAAGAATCAGTGCAACTAAGATTGATTCCACATTCATAAGAAAATCTATAAAGAAAGCTCAAATAGATATCGAAAAATTGAGAGTTCAATTTAAATCCATCATAGCTACACTTGAATTTAAAGGATTCAAACAGGCATTCTAACTAGCGTTTGTAGGTATCAAAAGCACATCTATACAAACAATGTTTCAAGATCCAAAAGCCCCAGTAAAAAGAAAATTCATGGAGTAGAGAAAAGTCATACTTGCAATGGCGAAGAGATTCATATCGTTCAGCTTCATTCATAACAGTTTTCCCTTTAAGATTGTGGGTAGTCTCATCATTGCAACATCCAACTAACAAATAAGTATTCGGGAATCTGAAATTACAAGAAGGATCAATAATTACAGCTCGTCAATTCAACAAATCAATTCTCCCAACAGAAGAAGATCACGGACAAGTGAAAGCAAGTTAGCAAACCTGAAAATTAAGAACAATCAAGCAGGCTAATGAATCAGAAAAAGAAAAAAAAAACACACAATAAGAGAAAACGACAATTCCTACCACCCGGCGAAACACAGGAACTAAATTACTTAGATCGAAAAGTATCAGAAACCATAAAAAAATCATGGAAACTACAGTCACAGATGCAGCATATGAGGAATAACAAAAAAAAAACGAAAAGAAATTAAGGAAAAGGAGAAGAAACGGACGATTTCTTGGCTTGCTCGAGAGAGCGAGCGTGACCGAAATGAAAGAGATCGTAGATCCCATCGGCGTAAACTCGAACTGGGCGGTCCGTCGGGTAATCAGGATTGGAATGGTTAGGAGAAGCGTTGATAGTGGTGGTGGAATCGGCGGGCTTCACCTCTGCCATTCGAATTATCTTCCGACCTCTTCTCTTCCCTTTCGCTTCCGTTCTGCTTCTTCGGCGAGCCCTCTTGTTGTGGATTTCTTCTCCTCCGACAACGCGATGTTTCCGCTCCCTATTTATTTGTTTCTTTTATTTTCTCATGTAATTTTTAGATTCTCCTTTTTTTAATATATATATATATATATTATTATTATTATTATTATTATTATTTTTTGAGCTAAGCTCCAATGGTTGGTTGACTCAAAGTTTGAAATTAGAGATGTCCATTATTCTCGAGAAAGGGATCCACCCTTAAAGTGTGGACGGCGGGTAGAGAGCCCCAAAAAAAATTCTTATGAGCTAAGCCAAGACGAGCGTGAGAATGTATTCTTCATTTCTACGTCCATTTGCTTTTTAAAAAATGAATTTGATGTGAAATATTCTTTTACGAAGATTTTACATGAATCGGGTTGGGTCGAGTGAGACATTTTTTACCTCAACTCAATTATTCGGGTTATAAATTTTTTAGACTCAACTCAAACAACTCTTATTAGATAATAAACTTAACGTAACTCTAAATTTTGTCTTCATAAAATAAATTTACGTAAAAAAATGTATATTTGAAAATTAGCAGTAAATTTGAGTTGACTTGTTCATAAAATTTGTATTTATTTAAGTCTGACTCAACCCAGTTCATATGAGTTGGACTACACCTATAAATTTGTTGGGTTATCGGGCTTTTTAAACCCCTTGACAAAAACTCAATTCCGACAAATTTTGAAGGGATGGAAATTTAATCGACGGTAGAGATGAGACAGGATGTAGAATGTAACATTGTCGAGTTCTTATCTCATGTCTCATTTCGAACAAAATTATCTAATTAACTGTTTAAAGATTGAAATAAGGATTTCTCTCAGATAATTATATAAATATTAATAAATTTTAGACTAAATAGTTATACCGTATAAAATAATAATTATAAATGTATTACTATATAATTAATAATTAACTAAATAATAACCATAATTATAAAATTTAAATAAGAAAATAAAAAAACTATATATTATAAATTCATTTGAAATGAATATCCACTAAAAATAATCACATAATCTACAAAAATAAATAAAAGAATTATATATATATATATATATATTTATTTATATAAGGTCCCCATCACCAATTATCTGTTTACTTCATTAAATAAACTGACAAATAAAAATACAAAACAAATAAATAAATGGTTCGATGAAGTGACACATCAGGGTCAGATGGTTCCAGGGAGTTCCACAGTGTGAATAATAATAATATTCTTATTATTATTATTATTAGATTACGAAAAATTATTATTTTTTTAAATAAATAAATAATAAAATACGACGGACGGTCGTGAATTTGAGGGGCAATAGAATGAATTGGGAAATTTTCTAGTCCTACGCAAGTAGAGACTACTTCGTGCGTCCTCTTATCCATGGCCGCCACGTACCTTCTTCTTCTTTAAAATTAAAATTACAACGGATTGATATATATATATATTTTTATTATTTATGTTTTCAGTATTATTTTTTAATGTTATTTAATCATTTTTCTTCTAATTATTATTATTATTATTATTACTCACTCGAATCTAAATCTTCTGAATTAGCTATTAATTTTACCAAAAAAATAAAAATAAAATAAAAATATATATAAGAAAGGATGAATTAATCAGATTTGTGTCCGTACAGTTAGTCTATCCACGTCAGACTCTTGTGTAATCCACTTTCAAAAATTTATTACATTTTTTTGGTAAAATTAATGGCTAATTCAGAAATTGCTATTAAATTTTTTTAAATTATACCGAACAAATTTACCATTTAACTATTGAATTAAAAAAAATGAAGTGAATTTAACAAAAAAAAAAAAAAAAACTTAAATTTTACGATTCACATTTTTTAGTTATACGCCAATAACATTAAAATACGATGGATCATACTATTTTACGAGCGTTCGATTCTCAAGGCAATAACTTGTTTTTTATTACCATAGTTTTGATATTACGATAATCTCGTATCGAACCTAATTCTTGAGTTGAAATATAATCGACTAGAAAGTTCTAGTGTTTGTGGACCAAGCGTTCACGTACGGTCAAAGTTTGATATTTCATAGAAATGAAATTGGTAAAATATGAAGTGAATTATTTAGAGTGATAAAAATTTAAATTCAACATATGAGCCAAAATTGCCAAAGTTTTGAAAAAATGGTATAAAATCTATCATATATACCCTACCAAAAATTGCATTGGATCAGACTGAGGCATAAAAGACTATTCAACTGAGAGCAGACAGGCACTGGGTAGCCCCTATTTGAATACACTTTTGCATCATTTCCAAAACTCCATAAAAAATAAAAATTTTAAATTTTAAAAGATGCCAAAACCCTAAAAAGAGAGTGGAAAAAAAAAAACATATATTATATTATGAAAAGTAAGAGCTGCCCGCCTCTGCCTCTGCCCCTGCCCCGGCCCCCTGCCCTTGACCGCCTTCCTACTAGAGTATTATTCATTTCATGTTTAAAATCGGCAAAACGACACCACTTTGGACTTCATGGAAAGAGACAGCATCTCAACATGCTCCCACTCTTTTAGGTTCTTTCCTCGCTCACGCTTTTACTCTGCGCGTGTCTTTCAAACGCCATTTCTATTCAATTTAAAGTTAATTGAAAGGGGGGGAAAAAAATCACACAAAATTACATATTTACATGGACTTCAAAACGGTGTCGTTTTTTATCCTACCAATTTGGATTCTTGGGAAATTTTTGCTTCCAAAATAGGAAATTCTTCATCTGCGCTGGCGATTTCCCGTCAGGTTCGAGTGATCCGGTTTCTGCAGTGCTGCCTCGTCTGGCCTTTACCGCCGCCGCAAGTCACTTCGGTCTTCTTCTGCGGCGAGGAAAACAGCTGGCTGAACCCGAACATCGACCCCGATGATTTCGATGAACCTCTCAGCGAGCTCACCGGGACGTTTAACACCGGCGGAACTCTCACATTCGCGGAGTATGACCTCTCGATGCCGTTGTGCTTCAATCTCGGTCCGCCATTGAAGCTACTCGGACTACTCGAACTCCTTTCTAGACTCTGAAACACTATTTTCCCTGAGGAAATCATTCTAGGACTATCCATGGATACTTCTCTGCTCTTCACTCTACCTGATTCCCCTGGAGTCCGACGGACCGGGCTCCGCCCTATTCTCTTCGCTTCTGATTGCGATACTCTCGTCTTCACCAGATTTATCCGATTCTTGTGTTCTTGATTGAATTTTGATGGCTTATCGAAATCGAGTGAGAGTCTAGGGAGATCCTCGTGCGAATGGCCAGATGATGAAGAAGAAAGAGAGAGGCGAGCAGAGGATAAGAAAACTGATTCGTAATCCAAATCCTTCAGTAACGGATGATATAGGGCATCTGTGGACTCGGAGGACACGAGTTTCGAATTCCTGTGAAGAAATTGCTTCAGAGATTTCATTCTATTGCTCGATGAAGACAACTCCGTCTTCGGGTTTTCGTTCTTTGCGGATGTGTTAGTCATCTGAGTAGCCTTCTTTAGCCCTAGAAGCTCTCTCCACCGACTCGAGCATCTAGGAGCGCGAGGAGAGAAAGAGTACGGATCCGCACCATCGATTTCCGTTACTCTACGCGGCGTCATTGTATCAGGCGACCGCGAACCGATCTCCGTCGAGGAGAGTTTCTTAACCGACGATTTCACCGATGAAATCTGCAGCGGCATAAGCTTTCCGTCGAAGAAAAGCTCATCAGCAGGAATCAGAGTAACCGGATCTTCAAGCCTAAACTCAAAATCACTGGATGTACCTTCTAGATCTGTACCTGAAATCGCCGGCTTACTCGTCTGAGGAGTATCAGCAATGGCAGATGGACTGAGCTTAAAGCCTGAGAGGTTAGCAGACGAGTCGTCTGGATACTCGCGGCTGAAGGATGCGCGAGGGCTCAACCAACCATAAGAAGTGTAGGCGGTACGTGAGCCGTCGAGGAAATTCTCCGGCTGTATTCCAACGTTGTTGACGCACGCAGAAGCCATGGATACCGGCGATCATGCAGAGCTTGAGATTCAGCGCGATTGAAGTGAACTGAAGAATGAAGGAGGAGCGTGTTTGCTCGCTCGACTTATACGCACAGTGTTAGGTTTTTTCCTTTTCTTTTTTAATAATTTTTTTTTAACCTTTGTCCTCAAAATTTAAAATAATTAGATTTAAATTTTAAAATATATAAAACAATTTAATCTATCCAACATAATTAAAATATTAAATATATAATTGAAAAAAATCTGATTTAAATATTTATAAAATGAGATTTTTTTTTTTTTTTTAATAATTGTTTTGTCTATATTGGACAAAATGCTGCAATCTCTGTCCAATCAAAATTTTAAAATTTGGCGTAGGTTAATTATTTTAATTTAATAACAAAAAACAATAAAGAGTCACGTGTTATTCGCGTGTAATATCTCTGTTTTCTACTTTTTCGTGAATTTTATTTATTTTTTCCCACTTGTAAATACAATAATAAATTAATAGAAATTGTAAGAGCCTTAAATAATAAAATAAAATAAAATGTAATTTTATTAATTAAATACAAGGGTATTTTGGTCAGAGAAAAAATATAATGGGCCTGGCCCATGTGTATGTTCTGGACACCGTCCGTATGGAAAGACCGGCCCAGCTACCTCGAAATCATGCATTTATTCAGATTAAATTAAAATAAAAAATAAATTAATATATTAGGATTAAAATTGTTGCTATTTTAATATTTAATTAACCTTTCCGGACAGGAATCTTTAAGCTGATCTCCGTTTCCGACGATTCCACCGGCGACGACGAACAGTTCGTGAAGTTTGGCGAGACTGTGAACTGCGGTAGGTGGCAGTTTCCTTTTTCTTACTTCTGATGTGATTTCTCTCTGGAATTTGGTTCTCAATCTATGCTCGTATTACTACATTTTTGTTGTTTGTTTGAGTTTCAATGGAGGTTAATCTCGCGGAATTTTTCATATCACGGAGTTATGGCCTCAAATTTGGTTTTAAAAAAATCGAGTGATCTCGGTTCAAGAATTCCAGAAATCGAGCATTTCGTTCGTCGTGCATTGTGTTTATTGTTTCAATATTATCGTGTAGCATTCGGTGTCGACTTTTCTTCTTCCAGATGTCTCTTAATATTGTCAGTTTCTTGCTTCATTGATCACTTCTTTTTTAGGCAAAATTACAGTAGAATAATTGTTAGTTTCTCGGCATTGACTAGTTCTGTTCTGGTCTTCAAGATTTCACGATTGAAACTGCATATTAGTTCCGTTACAATTGTAGTAGCTGCGATCTTAACTTTATGGTGTTTCTAGACACTTATTAGATGCTGAAATCGTGGAAGCTATTTTCAGTTTATCTTTGTTGTCTCACATTATTGACGCACTATACTGGTAGCTAACGAACTTACAGGTGGGCGATTTTCACTGTGAATAATGAACTTGGTGATCTCTTTCAGAAATTGCAAGGGATGCACAGTCTGGAGAAAGTGCACGATGATTCTGCCAACAAGGACAGCAAAGTCTCTGCTGAATTGGAGCCTTCTATTAGTCCAAATGGTGATTTCGAGAAAGAAAATGATATCGCAAAGATGAATTTGGGAAACTCTAATGCTCTAGCAAATGGGCTCTCTTCCATGCTTAAGAACATCATGAGGGATTTTGACTCCAAAGCTGATGATACTCTTAAAAGCCAAAGCCAGCTTTCATTTTCCCTTGACCGACTTACTTCAGGTAGGATTACATTTACTTTGTTTTATTACTTTTATCATATAAAATAGAATTTCTTCCTTTGTCCAATAATATAGTTTAGGGGAAGTGTATAGGTAAATGATATTCTCTCATAATTTACCTTTTTTCTTGTCATAGATGCAAAATTGAAGCTTCTGAGTTTCATGGTTTTTTCAATGGTATAAAAAGATATTATTTTAACTTTTAACAGAACTGGATCAATTACTTGAAGATGCTCCTTTTCCATTCATCATGCAGCATGCCTTGAGGATTTCTAGTGTAAGAAAGAGAGTGTTGTCTCTAAATTCCATCTTAAGATCCGTACAACGAAGAGTAGATAACATAGATCGGGCGATCTCGATGAGTAATTTACCAGGTGATTGATTTCTCCCTTCAAGGGCCTCAATTTTGTTGTCTTTTATGGCTTTTAATTTAGTGGAAACTTATTGAATAATATCATTGGCTGTCGAGGTTTGTTCAATAAAGGTCCTTATTCTCTCCATTCTATTGGAAAAGGAAAGGTGTTATTCCCATAAAATAATGACAAGAAGAACCAAGTGAACTCAAAACTTCAATAAAGATCCTTGTTCCTGGCATTCCCTATATAATTCTTTTTGCAGTCATGTGGGCTATTTTTGTTAGCTCCTAATTGTCAGATTTTATACGCAACTTTTCACTACATTATTGAACCGTGTGGAATCAATATATTCATTTGAAAACCTCTGTTGTGACTTCTTATGGAAGATTTAAAACTTTTCCCTTAACATGTTGCACAAAGAGGATTTAGTAACGATTTTAAACCTACAAATAAGGATCTTTTACTTTTGAATAAGAGGTGGAATTGAGGTATCAATTGCAAAACCTCAGCTGTTCTTTCTCTCAGGGCCTCATTCGAATATCATATGATTTTTTTTTTTTTTTTTTTTTTTTTTTTTTTTTTTTTTTTTTTTTTTTTTTT